ACGTAGCCTTGTCAGAAACGTTATCTGAGGCCATCATCTGAATTAAAGAAAGGCAATTAACATGGCAAACCTTGACATGCTATGATTTCATTTACAGATGCAATTCCACATAGTCTTACAACTATCAAAGTTGAAATAAAATATGAAATACACTTATAGTCTAAGATTATTCAATTTAAATTACGATTTTATTCAGTTGAGTATAAACCGAATCTTTTAACTCAGATAAAACATTTCAACAAAGGAACTTACGAGTAATACGATACTTCTTTTAATACTAACGGTGCATTTAGACATAGGGGGTGCGTAATAGACTTACCTCCATGTGGTGCACCCTGGGCAACGTATACTTATGCGGCAAAAAGTCTATTGATCGACAGTTGACATCTGACTTCAAACTTCTATGACCCGACTATTTGTCATATTCAACCCCTTTCACAGTACTCATCTTACCTTTTTTATGCCTTTGTGTCTGTCTGTCTCGTTTACCTCTGTGAATCATTATTCTGTCCCCCATCCCGACTTTTTGTCACTTTGATGTTCCTTCTCTTCTCTGTGAAGCCCCGAAGTCAGCTCCAGGGCTAATGATAACTTTCAAAACGCCTGCCATTTGATATAAACAAAAACATTTAGACATGGTTTGAGGTACCTGTTTGATTTTAGCCTCCTTCTGATCCAATTGTGCCTGTTCAGCGGCAAGACGAGTTGACAAGTCGTAGTTGGCCATAGCCCACGCCTGCCAGGCGGCTCGGCAGCCAGGCGCGTGCTCTGTAGCGGTGCGGTAGCAGTGAATCACAAAGTTGTGCATAGATACAGTTTTATCGTCTGTAAACCCTGTGGCAATGCCCGGATCGGAGAGACCTACTTTAAGTGTTGGACCGTGGAAATCATCCTATAGAGAAAGAGTGCACAAAATAGCATTAAGGACATTCAGAAGGTGAGAACGGCATTCATAGAAAAAAAGTAATGAATCAGAATTAGACAATCACCATGACTAGCTTTTAAGACAAAAGTTAAGATGGGAGTAAACTTACGTTGTCTTTAGAAATTCAAATGAATAGCCATAAATTAGTCAAACCAGTAATCTCTGTAGTCTTAGCCATCTACGTACTCTATTTTTCACACAATGAAATAGTGCGTTCAAGTCACCGAACTCGATTAAACCGTATTTGCAAATATTACGATTTGAAAAGAAAATATAAAATAATGAAATCAATTCAAAGACTGAATTCAAGTAGAATAAGTAGAGATAAGTGAAAAGTCGAGGAAGAGAATGTGGAGAATTGATAAAAAGTGCCATTTCCAAACTAAAAGAAAATGAAAAAAAGAGATTGCGATAAGGACTTGCCTATCAGAGATCATGAAAAGAATCCCTACAATAGAGCAGATAGTTGTCAAAATGCAAGAATGAGATCAAGTTCAAGGGGACCAAAAGATTTAAGTACAAAATACTAAAACCTGACGAACCATTAACACGACCTAACCAATTTCCCCTCATTTGCAGTCAATCGATCAATATTATGAGCCTATGACAAAAGCAGATATTGCTCATCAAGAGAAATGCAAGAGCCTCTATAGGTGATTGGCCTTAGTATTCTGAGTCAATCGTAGCCATCCCACGATGCAATTAACCTTGAGAAATCTCCGAATGCCTTCAACAATAACCATTTTCAAACTAATTCCTTCTTTCTTCTTTATGTCTCTATGGTTCGTCAGAGCTAGGGTTATCATGGGCATAGTTCTATCAAACATATTGGAACAAGTTTCATGAAACAGCTACTTGATTAAGTTTATCCTCACAATATGCAATTAAAATCGAGAATAAGGAAATAAGTGAGGATACTACTTACATTTTGTAGGGTTTCTCCAGCAACATTAAGCTTCTTCAAGAGAGTTGAATCAACACTAGAAGTTTGACTTAAGACTCGACCATCCGCAGCTGAAGAACGAATGTGCAAATCTGTATACCAGTTGCCCAACCGTCGGCAGCATCTAGACAACACAGACAGACAAATAGAAGATACGGCAAAAATAATTCAATCCAAATTATATGGTGATTCGGAGGTAAAATTACTTAGACATGAGTCTCTTCAAATCCTCAATATTCTTTGTCAACGATGAGACCATTTCAGATTTGAGCAAACTCTGCTGAACCATCTCTTGACTAGCTTCTTCGAGTTTATTGATATTGGAGCGCAGTAGGGGTTCAATGACCTTATCACGAAGAACTTGGAGTCGTGTGACAGCCTCCTGACGCATATTCAATGACCAGAGGAGTTTAGTGTAGGAGAAAACAATGGCAGGATCAGGAGATTCGATTATCTGGTTCCAGTCTGTGGTTGATGGGTCACTTGGAAGCATACGATTTATAATTTGGAAGCTCAAGCTCTAAATAGTAAAGAGATGAGCGTCACAACCTGCTTAATTTCGAAAAAAAATCACATATTACAGAATAGAGCATCCCAGGGCACCAAAGTTGAAAATGTATACAAATCAACCAGTTTATAAGGGCGCCGTCAATAATAATCTAATATGGCGTATTTTCCAATACCCACCTTAAACGCCGAAACAAGGCTTCTTGCATTATAACAGACACCGATATCAGTCAGTGCGATTGATTACTAACATCCACAACCTTTCTTCTCTTTAACACCTCTGTATTAAATACGCATTTCCTGCTCGAGGTACTGCATATGGTCAAATTGACTTTGACTAAGAAAGATAAGACTGAGCCTGAATTAAGACCCTTGTAAAAAAAGGTGGTTATAATTATCAAAGCAGAGCCGGTATTTAGCAGTTATGCAAAGAACTGAAATCACGCCACTCACAAGACGGCCCGATCTCCTACACAGGCCAGCATAACGCAGACAACTCTTCATATTCTCCTTAGGATCGAGCACAAGACGGCGTAGCTGGACAATACGTCCCCAATCCTCAACTACCGATTGACAACCCATAAGCCTCTGATGCCAGGCATCTTGCAGAACCGCGCGTCTTTCAGGAATCAGTTTGTATTGAATTACTTCCTCCACTTCGGAGAGCAATTGAGCGTCCACTAGGTCCTACAGAAAACAGGCGTACTTTAGAATCGGATATAGCCCAAGATGAGAAGAGAGCCAAGATTTGATTTGCTTACGGGATAAGTACGCTGATAACCCTCCGTAGTAAGAGGAATGAGATTAGCAGATAGGATTGAGCGAGCTTTGGCTACTTCATCTAAAGCTGCTGCATAGTTGCCGTCATGGAGGGCAAGAAGAGCACGATAGAAACCACCCTCGTGGTCTGCTGGGGAGAATGCGGAAGTGTAGTGAGCTGCACGAGACCACGAACCGAGTGTGATGGCTGCACTGGCTGCTATTGGAGCCACTTGTTGACGTGCTCCTTCGCTCAAGTTATTCCAGCGTTCCCAAGCCATAGTATCCAATTGTTTCCTACGTACGATCAAAGAAAAGTTAGTAGATATTAGTGAAGTGTTCAATCTTTTTATACTATCACTTTACGACCAAATTGCATACTGTGAAGGCATACTCCGGGGTATAAGGAAACTACACAAATTCGATTGCAAGGTGAAGTGTTCTGCAGTATATTACTTCATCTTTTTCCGGGGAAAATTATTTAACATCCAGTTACCTGAGTTGTGCAAATTTAAAGTATTAAAAAAGGAAGAAGGTAGAAATTACGACACTTTAAGAATGGACCTAAAACTGAGCTATGGAGATGCGAAAAGGAAACCTTCAGGACATTGACAGTCTATTCCAAAAAACTAAGGACTTAATTTTAGACAAGTACCGGACACGATTGAAGCCGTTGCTGAGTTTAGACTACGTACTGGACAACCGTTGATGAGTTTAGACTACGTACCGAACACGATTGCCTATAAACACCTTCACAGATTGGGAGTATACACTCAACTCACATGTACACCTTCACAGATTGGGAGTATACACTCAACCCACATGGACCTTCACAGATTGGGAGTATACACTCAACCCACATGCCCCCTTCACAGATTGGGAGTATACACTCAACCCATATGCCCTTTCACAGACTGGGAGTATACACTCAACCCACATGCCCTCTGGATTGGGAGTATACACTCAACCCACATGCCCCCTATGTAGCCTGGGAGTATACACTCAACCCACATGCCCTCTATGTAACCTAACGATTGCTTGGCAAAACACCTTCACAGATTGGGAGTATACGCTTGGCAAAACATTTCACAGACTGGGAGTATACACTCAACCCACATGCCCTCTGGATTGGGAGTATACACTCAACCCACATGCCCCCTATGTAGCCTTGGGAGTATACACTCAACCCACATGCCCCCTATGTAACCTTCAAGAGGAAATGGAGAAGACCCACCTGATTCGGTGTCCCACAGGAGAAAATGAAGAAGACCCACCTGATTTGGTGTCCAGCACTAAAGACAACGACGGAAACCCAGAGATACTGGGAAGCAAAAAAAAGCCAGAGATACTGGGAAGCAAGACGAGACAACGACGGAAAGCCAGAGATACTGGGAAGCAAGAAGAGGGACAACGACGGAAACCCAAAGGCAAGAAGACAGCTAATGAATTGCTATTAATTAACTGCTACATAGAAAGCCAGAGATACTGGGAAGCAAGACGACGGAACTGCTATTAATTAACTTCTATAAATGTAACCCCCCACTCTGGGGGAAGCTGAAGTCAAAGATTAAGGGCTAATGGTAATGAATTGCTATTAATTAACTGCTATAAATGTACCAGAATTGCTATTAATTAACTGCTATAAATGTACCCCCTCCATGAATTGTATGTACCCCCCCCCCACCCTTGGGGGAAACTGAAGTCAAAGTTTAAGGGCTAATGATATCTCAAAGCCTGTCATTTGAAATAAATAAATAAATAATCTTAGACAATACACGAAAACATGAGTCTGGATAAAATCACCTGCAATTAAATAAGATTATGGAACCGAAAGGAGGCCAATACACAAGAATCAAGAACAGAGAATCTACACTTCGCCACAGGATGGATAATTCCCGCCCCGAGATAGTCTCAAATTGTTTAATAAGCATGCAGGCGCGTACATCGCTCCTTCAAACTTTGCAGTTGGACTGGAATGCAAGACACCGATCATGCAATTGGAGAAGGGCCAGTAGGCCAGTGATGTATTACTATGAAGAAAAAATGGCCATTTTCAAGTCCCATGCAGCTTTAGGGATTAGAGGCCATTGTGAAAGAGCGCATCTTCTAATGCAAGTTGATGCAAACTGTTTTGCTCATATCTTACACTGAACATATACAAAAGAACTGGAATAGAAAGGCAAAATGCGTGAATTGTAAGAGAAAAAACGCGTAAACCTCTCCTTAATGCTTGCCTATCCTTCTTGACCCGATTTTTAATTAAACAGACCTATATATAAATACTAAGAGTATACGTTGAGCATGAATATTTACCTTGGTAAATGTCAAAGGAATATATATGCACTAAACATTTATAATAGATTGAAATAAATATAAGAAGGGGAGTAAATACTGCCTACCATTCATTAGAAAAAGGTCAACAATAATCTCAGATGAACAAAATTGGTTTAAAATGGAAAAAAGCACACTTATTAATCCCCTAAACAATATAATTAAGTTTGACAAATTGGTACAGTTAATTATTTAAAAGAATCTTACCAATCACCAAGAGCATGCAAACATCTCAATCGGCAGAGAATTGGCTTGGTCTTGTCTCTTATTCTCTCATCTTCCAACTTTCGATCACATAAAGCAATGGCTCGATCCCAATTGTGCAGCTTCTCGTACCACAACTCTTCATCAGTCTAGTCAAAACATAAGAAATACAAATTGAAATCACTGAACGAATGGAAGGCAGTAGTAAAAGGAAAAATCTTACTAATCTCGTTCGAGAGTCCTTCGTAGCATAGAGTAGAACCCCATTAGAGGCTTCAGAAAGCTGCAACTTATCATAGATTGCCAACAATGAGGCTAGAATTGCAGGACTCGGTTCCGACCGTTTATCCACTTCGTCTAGGAATTCTAACTCCTTGTAACGCAAGGCTTTTGCGAAAGCCCGGTTCTTCATGGCCCTTTCAGCAAGCAAATTCAGTGACAACGGAAGGTGAACACGAGGTGACTTGGTAGAAAACTAAAAGGAAAAGATTAATTGAACCACTCAACAAATTTTATTCATAGCCTGTCTCAGAGCGGTGCTACCTAAAAGCAATCACATACTCTTGACTGTTGCGGGAAAGTGTCTTTTTTAAACTGAAAATAGGCAGAAGGGGATACCTTGGAGGTGCCACAAAAAGGAATCCAAATCCTGTAATTAAATTTAACCAGTAGGGTTGGTAATGTCTGTAACTTGCTGAGAACTACTTGCACACTCCCGAAAGAACTCATATAAATAAGACCGGTTATATTGCGTCAATTACAAGTGCTTAGATAGATAAGTAAGATAGAAGTGACGAAGAGTGGAGAGTCAAACAAAAAACTCCAATCGCTGTAGTTCTTTGGAGGTACACGAACAATAAGTAGGAATAGAAACAAAAGTCTAACCCAAAAAGAAATGCACTAACCTTGTCGGCATGAGCCATAAATTCCTCTAGGTTGAGAATAACCTGACTAATTTCTCTCGATTGCGCTGCAGCCGAGGGAAGACGAAGAACCGATTCGAGCGTATTAATTAAGTCGTCCTGTTCAGCATCTCGAAGCTCTTTCCAACAACTCATGAAGGAAGCATTGAAGAGAAGTCGCGAAATCTGCGGAGCAATGGCAGTTAGTCGTGAACATGCCCGAATAGCTGGGCTAGGTGACTCTCGCAAAAGAGCAATACTCAACGTTTTTAGCCACAGGTGCCAGTCTTCTGGATTTCCCAAGCGCGAGGATTGCCATGCTCTTTGTAGATTTAGGCTAAAACAGATAAAAAAGACGTAGAAGTTAATTTCAGTCTAAATACTCCCCCCCCCCCCCCCTAATATTCGCAAACTTGCCTATTGAGGGTAAAGTTTTTGATCTGTTTCTCAGGATCGGCTTTCCGAGTACAATTAGCATGAGTGTCATGCAGGATAGCTTGACCCTCAACTTTTAAATTTGGTCTTCTGTAACCATCTTCATAAACCTAGCAAAATAGGGTGCATCAACAGATGAAAGGACTTTACCTACCTTTTCAAGAGCTTGCTCGTATTTAAAATGAGGTGTATTGACTAGTTTTAGAGTGACTTCAACAACAGGCAGAATAAACTTGAAACCAGAACCCATTTGAAGAGCCAGATTGGCAATTACATCCATAGAAGGAGAATAAAGCGCCTTGAGAGCAACGCTAGGATTAGGTAATTTGCTCTTGGCTTCCACCGCGTTCATAGAGCGCTCGTTGAGAGCATTCAAGAGACGACATAAGGGCTGAACAATATTTATCGCAAGAGTTTCCACACAGAGGACCTCAGTAATCTGCGCTATACAATGTAGAGCAGCTAAACGAGTCTGCAGACTACCTGGGATAATGGGTCCAATGGCAGCCCTTTGTAATGATCGGAAGGTACTATTCATAGTAGTATTGCTTTGATCCCCAAATATAGCATCGACGGGAGTTCCCATCATGAAATTCTCATCAAGGAAGTTAGGCGAAGCAGCACTCATTACTTCAACAGATTCCGGACTGCAACTGGATGAGAGGGCTTGCATAACCGATCCTGCTGGTTGACTAACTGGAATCGAACCCGGGGGAGCGGCAACAGGCATAGAGGAAGAAACAGTTGCAGATGGGACAGTTTGGGCAAGTTTAGTGGCCCCTACCTCAGCAGCTGTCTGCAGAAGGTGCTCATAGGCTGCTTCATCAAGATTTGAGACTAGTGACATCAAAGATGGCATGATGATATGCAAGTGACCATCTAACAGTGAACCAAGATCACTTATTAGATTACATACCTAAGGAAAGAACTCAAATTAGTCAGGAAAAGAGGAACTCCTATTAAGAGAAAATTTTGGCTTACAGCTATCAAGTTTTCATCAATCATATCCTGTTTAAGGCTTCGAAGAATGCAGGGTATGAGACGCGGGATAGAGGGGCGGAAATCAGTTTTGATTGCCCTGGCAGTTACTATAGCCAGTCGAATACAATTATTCAGTACAATTGGTGAAGAGGAATAGTTCCAGTAGGTGGTGATTGTATCCACAATTTCATTAACAAATTCCTTCGCAAATGGTCCAATTATCTGCACTATGGTACCCATGTGGTAAGTGATTGCTTCCTGGAGCTATTAATGTAGAAAAATAAGTCATGACTAGAAAGGCAACTTGTCGATTCTTAGTACCACTTGAGTTTCGGGCTTTCCTATGACTTATTAGTCTATCCGCAAACCTTAGCAACTGATCAGTTGATAAATAGGTCCTCTATTCTCTTGCTTTGTTCACAGTCCCTTCACTACCTTTTGTTGTGAAAAAATATAAAAGCAAGTTTGTTCTATTTATTTCTATGTTATAGCGCCTTCGAAACATGTACAGAGAAGGGTAATTGGAAGAAAGGGAAATAGCATACCTTATTCTCATGAAGACCCTGGAGACACTTAAACAGTTCGGACATAACTTGGTGGAGGCAAGGAATGGAGCGTTGATTGAAGGATTCAAGAACATTGGCGATAACCTGTACCACCTGATCCCAATTAGCCCTCATTCTGGTTTCTTGTAGGATATTGATCAGAGCGGAAAGAGAGTAACCGGCAAAGAATTCCTCACGGTTCTCCCAACAGATGTTCACTAGTAATTCTGATTGGGTAATATCAACTGGAAGAGAATAGAAAGTGGAATTAATACAAATGAAGCATGAATAAATACTGACCAAAAACAGTAATAGATCTAGAACAATAAGTTATGACGATAATCCAAATAAAAATTGTACTCTATCCACGAGTGTTAGCACACACCTAACCATGGTGCATACGTATTCAGTCATATTCATATTCTGCATATTAATTAGCAAAAATTTCTACAATCGATAGACAAAATCAAAGGTCCCAAGACAGAAATTAACAAATACACATAACCAGGGTCCGCATTTTGCCAGAAGATCAAAGCAGATTGCGAAAGCAGCAGGAAGAAGTAAACAAGTCTGCGGGATCTTGAGCAATGAAAGAGACTTCTATTTTCTCCAAAGAGTTGTTGTTGTTGTCGTTTTTGAAGTCGAAAGAATTAGTGTCGACATAAATCACATTTAACTTTAAAAACAAATTAACTAGAAAAGAACAAACTTATAAGCAGAGTAGAAGCGGAGGGTCAAAGGACATGACGTCAAATAAAAATTAGAGCCCACAAGTATTGGATCACAAAAATGTGTTGAGGGTTAAAATGAAGCAACGCAAAAGGGAAAATAGATTTCATTCAATTGGACAGTAGCAATGAACTCATCTTCATTCTAAGATAACCTCAGCCTTATTGACACAAAGAATGATAACTTTTTCACGTGAGTAATTAACTAAACCCTTTCAATCAGAATACTTGCTTTTTCCCTAAATAAGCGTGATTAACATTAGTGAAAACAAATGACCAGGTCACGCAAGAAGTTAATAATTTAGTTACATTCTCGACAAGGAACTTACTGAAACTTGTAGTTCAAGTGAAACACTGACAAATAATACCAATTAGCAATATCAACTAGCACCCTGCTTAGAAATTATAAAGCTCTCGTTAACCCCACCTTTTTTCTAAGCATGCTTAGACATAAGAGAGAAAGTAATAAAGAAAAGAAAATACCATCAAATATGCAGAAGCAATGCCTTTAAAATTTACCATCTCTCGACTCAACAATATCATGCTGACTGACAGCAGTATCCGTCTCCTGGATATAGTCATGGATTCCTGTAGAGATTTTCAATTTGAATGGGTCTACAGCGCCAATGAGACCGAGTAGACGGACAATCTAATGAATTAATGCATTATCATTAAATGATCCTACTTCTGACTGAATACTCTTCGATTCCACTCTTCTGAGCATTCCAAAAAGAAAATCCATCAGATCTGGGTGCTTCAAATAAGGCCGGACAACATAGCCAGTGTTTGAAACTAACACGCTGAAAGCCCAAGCTGCAATCTATAACAAGATTCTAAAAAAAAACAAAGTTTCTTTACCGATCGTTTGGCATGACACGTCGGATCTTGCAACATGTAGGTAAGAATTGGAATAAGGTCATCCATCAAGTGAATCACTGCGTGTGGACACACAGAAGAGATGTGAGAAAGAGCTGAAAAGAGGGCAACCACAAAGCCCTTAGGCTCTCTCCAAATTGAATTCGCATTTTCTACAATGCGTCGACCATAGGTGCCACCTGTTTTAAGAGAGTCAACAGTGGACAAGAGGCTAGTGATTTCACCAGGTCGAAGGGACTCGAGAGTGCCCGAGATGGTATTCTTGGTGAGAATGTCAGTCGAGTAATCAATGGTTGTTAGACTTGCTGCTGCAGAAATGAATTCCTGATTTGTGCCTGGTAGAATTTCGTCAGGATCACCGACAAGGAGATCTAAATCACAACCGTCAAGACGGGACATGTTTTTGAAGGCAGAGGAATGGGTGGCCTATAGGAAATGAAGAAAGAAATTAAGGCATTAAAATGATTTCAGAAAAGGGGCACCTGCGTTTCCATCACTATTTGTCTAAACTGTTTAGAAGATTGGTAGACAGCCCATAGGATAAAAAATCGGCAGTGCTGAAGCCAAAAATTGGAAAATACATTTCATTCAATGGAATTATTCAACAACGAATTGCTACTTAAATGATCCGAGCACAAAGCCTATCAGCTACCAATAATAACTACACGGGAATACCAAAGATAGTTGAAGGAAAAACTGAGAGCCTGTGACTGACGGATATTGGCACTTATGAATAAAGGTCGACGCTCAATTAAATAAGATTCTGCGTGATAAAAACTGACAGAAACGGAGCTCAAACGGTTAAGATGAAAACAGATTGACTGGTGCAGAACAAGTCAATGCATTTGAATACTGCAATGCAATACCTATTAGTGACATTGAGAAAAAGTTGTTACGATAACTATCTCTCATTCCTTCCACGCTTTCTGCCAAGGGAAACGAATGCGAATATAATTTCATGAGTACTCCAATAACAATTCGCAGTAATTTTTCACTCACATATAAAGAAGTCACACAATAATCGCTGAACTTAAGTGGGAAAAAATAAAGCGCAACGAAACTTAACTTCGATGGAAACTGCTAATTTTTGACATGATTTTCAAAATGCAAAGTGTATAGAAGCAGGATTCACAAACTCGTGAAACCACTTCAGTAAGCAAAGCATGCAAATATTATAACAAAAAGAAACTTTAAAATTTGAAAATGTCTCACTGAGAAACCGTCGTCGTAGACAGTCAACATGTTCTTTCCCAAATTTCCAATAGCATTACTAATAACTCTCGCAGCTACCGTTGCCGCATGCGCAGCTTGGTTAGCCGCAATCACAGCTCGAGCACATACTGCTGTGGTTTGAGCTGAGTTGGGCATATTGGGGGTTTTGCCCGCATTGACCAGAGCCCTTGCCAGTTGGGTTCCAGCCCCACGAGTAGTTGCTGCGGCCACCGCTTGTACTGCCTGAGCGGCCGAGTGGGCTGACCATTGGGAGGCCATTAGAGCTGCACTCAGAGAGGCCTCACTGCCATCTGTCATAATGTCAAAAGAATAACCCAGCGCTCCGTTGCCCGATCTGTTGGCTAAAGACAGAGGGAGAGAAATCATCATTAGTGAGTCTATAATAGGATGCAATATAGCATATATTGGTTAGTAGGGTAGCCTAATATCAAATCTTGAGCGCATAACATGCGGAGTCCGAAAATCCCATCGCTAGCTAGACATCTCCGAGGTAATCGATTCATGCTAGCGAGTATTCCTCTTAAATAAAGATGGTCAGACCTGCATCAACAGTTCTTATATCATTTATAAGTTGAGAGAAGTCATACTGGCGTGAAATAGGACACAAATGTTATATTAAAACAATCTCATTTCATTTTGAGAAATGAGAGAATGGCATAATCCATGGCTTAAAATATTTACATTTCATAGTAAAATCGGTTGGCCAGAGTTATGATACAGGATTGAATTCTACAGCAAATGAGCAGGTTAGCATACAACACTCTGCCCTACCCAATAAATGTACACATTATTTCCATACTCATCCAGCTCAAAAATTATTGTCGCCAACATTTTGTTATCGACAAGATCGAGGAGAGAGATCAATCTCATGAATTCGTTGTTTACGAAAGCCTGTTTATTGATTTCATCCACGTTATTGCCTTTTTCCACAATGCCCACATATATGTTTGAAAACAGGGTGTGCGATAGACTTACCTCCACGTGGTGCACCCTGGGCAACGTATACTCATATGGCAAAAAAGTCTATTAACCTGCAGTTGACGTCTGATTACTTCAAACTACCATCACCCCACTGTATGACATATTCCACAACTCTCACAGTGCTGATCTCATCCTTTCTCTACTTTTGTGTCTGTCTGCCTCCTCTACATCTGTGAACCACTCTTCTGTTCCCCTTCTCGAATTTTTCTCACCTTGTTGTTCCTCCCTCTGTGAAACCCGAAATCAGCTAAA